ACAACTCTACAACAGCCCAGGTTGCTTCTTTGTTAGAAGTGGATGCATTAAGGTTAGAGCCTCAAGTTCAAGAATACATCAAGGCAAGGAAGCATAGATTTGATAGGAGAAGAATGGAGGACCACAACCACACTTTCAAAGTAGGACACTCTCAATGCAAGAAGAAGGACAACAACAAGCAAGAATCAGCATGAGCAACACAAACAATTGAGATCAGACAATGATGGTGATGATCTTTGGTCAAATTTGGTAAAGTAAAGGAGAAGGAGGTGGAGATGATAGAACGAGGAACTGTTTGGAGGTGAAGCAGAGCAAGGAGAGTATCGAGTAGTGAAGAGAATGAAGAGAGAAAAGCCCAATGTCTACCACCCACTTAATGCAGCATTGTAAAAGCTAGGGCAATTGGCTTGTAAAAAATGCCCATTCAGACCCCAACGCTAATTGCAATTTTTTTTATCCAAATAAAACTTTTTAGACTTTTAATATTCTAACCTAAGTTTGGAACATCCCAACCTAAGTTGGGATGTTATCCAAACACACACGAAATATGTTATTATTTTTTTTATTCAATTATTAATGAATCTTGTGGTATTTAAATGTGTTGAATGAAACTTGTATGTAACTTTCTCATAAATAAACCACACTTAACCCTTCATCTTTAAGTGAGATTTTCTATTGAATAAAGGAAAATATAGAAAGATGATATCAATTTAAAGACAATTAATTAATTAATTGGAAGTGTAATTTAATTAAAAATGTTTTATATTTTTTAATAGAAGAATTAATTTTTAAAATACCTTGTTAAGAGAGATATCCAAATTTTGTATAAGCATGCAATTAAAATAGAGTTAAATGATAATTTTATCCTTAAATTATAGGTCTAGAAGCCTAAAACTCTAAACCTTATTTAAGTACAATATCTCATTTCAATATTTTGAAAGTGTGCAATGTTGCCCTACTAAGGTTGACTATTAATTGACTAAAATTATAAAAATGGACTCAAAAAATTATAAATAAGTACTCTATAAAAAATTAATACTGATTAAGTATCTTAAATTACAAAGAGAAAATTGTTATTTTTTTTCTTATGTAAAAGACTAAAACAATATTTTAATCATCCCCTTCAACTGGCTACTTGGTAATTATCAGATCTCCATTATGACACCAATAGTGGTAGTAATTAAAAAATAATTTTCTTGTTTAATAACATCTTATTAAAATATTTTGGTCTTTTATATGTGAAAAAAAATAACATTTATCTCTTGATATTTATTTAAAATTTAGATAACTTAAATTGATATCAATTTTTTATAGAGCACTTATTTATAATTTCCTTGATCACTTTTTATAATTTTTAATCTTTTTTTATAATTTTTTTATTTGTAACTTTAATTCAACGCTCACATTAATGTGCACACAAATATATTATTCACTGTATCCAGAAAAAGAAAAAGAAAAGAAAAGAGAGTTCTTATATATAGAAAGATGACATCAATTTAAAAATAATTAAGTAATTTATTGAGAGTGTAATTCAATTAAAAATATTTTATATTTTTTGACACATAAATTAACTTTTAAAATACCTTGTTAAGAGATATGTTCACATTTTGTATTCAAACATGTTTCAAACAAGATTGTTTTTGATGAAAATATACAAGTATGCAATTAAAAAAGGGTTAAATGATAATGTTACCTTTAAACTATTGGTCTATAAGCTTAAAACTCTAAAAAAATTAATAAAATATTTTCCTTCAATATTTAAAAAATGTGCAACGTTGCCCTACTAAGGTGACCATTAATTAACAAAAAAAATTCTAGTAAAGAACCCTAAAATTTTAGAAAGGACATATAAAATTATAAAAAAGGATCAAAAAAATTATAAATAAGTACTCTATAAAAAATTGATACCAATTAAGTTTCTTAAATTAACTTTTAAAATATCCCCTTAAGAGAGATGTCTACATTTTATACTCAAGTGTGTTTCAAACAAGATTATTTTTAATAAAAATATACAAGTATGCAATTAAAAAATGATTAAATGATAATTTTATCCTTAAACTATAGGCTTAGAAGTGTAAAACTCTAAATTTTTTTAGTATAATATTCTCCTTCAATATTTCAAAAGTGTACAATGCTGCCCTACTAAGGTTAACTGTTAATTGACAAAAAAAATTATAGTAAAAAACCTAAAATTTATAAAAAGGATATATAAAAGTATAAAAATTGACCAATAAATTTCAAATAAGTACCTTATAAAAAAATTAGTACTGATTAAGTTTCTTAAATTATAAAAAATATTAAGAGACAAATGTTATTTTCTCTTGTTTAAAAGTCAAATAACATTTTAATCATCCACTTTGACTAGTTACTTGGTAATTATTAGCTCTCCATTATTGACACCAATACTGATAAGCAATTAAAAAGTAATTTGTTTGCTAAATAATATCTTATTAAAATATTTTGGTCTTTTACATATAAGAAAAAACTAACATTTATCTCTTAATATTTATTTGTAATTCGGATAATTTAAATTAGTATTAATTTTATAGAGCACTTATTTATAATTTTCCTAATCATTTTTATAATGTTTTAATCCTTTTTTATAACTTTTTATTCATAAATTTAATTAATCACTCACATTAATGTGCACACAAATATATTATTCGCTGTATCAAAAAAAAAAAGAGAGTTTCTATATATACATATACATATACATATATATATATATATATATCTGTGTGTGTGTGTGTGTGTGTGTGTAATATATCCTAGAAAAATTATTGTTTTGACCTTCTACAAGTCATGAGCCTGCCTATTTTTGGGAGAAACAAAGGAGAATTTCAACTTCCGAACGCGGATGTGGCTTGAACGATGAAAAGATTCAAATACTCGTTATTTGTTAATTTTATTATAATTATTAATTGTTAATTATTTTATTTTATTTGTCAATTTATTAATATAAATTGTAAATTATATTTTTTGTTAGATAAGTATTAACATTAATTGTTAATTTGTTAACTTTACTTGTTAATTTATTAACATCATTTATAAATTATAAGACCTATTGATAATTTACAACTAATGTTTGTAAATTAACAAGTAAAGTTAATAATTTAACAATTAATATTGTTACTTATGATTGAATAATTGATGTTCAAGTCTTTTATAATTATTAACAAATCAATTCATGAAATTTACAACTCATTGATAAATTAACAAGTGAAATAAAAAAATTAACAATTAACAATTCTGTATTCAGACAAAATTAATAAATGAAAGGTATTGGAATCTTTTCATTATTAAAATTATTTTTATTTTATTTTCTTGAATTGAAATGAAATTTTAAATTTTTTTTTACATTCACTAGTAATTAAGTCATTTTTAATTGACATTCCTAACAAAAAAAAAAAGAGCTTAACTATGTGTAATGTTAGTTTTGGAGTAAAGGGGAATTTCATTGACTATAAAAAACTGTACAGAAACCAGGAAAGAACGGAAAACAAATCACATCAAGGACTTGAAAGTAGAAAACGCTTTGAGTGTATACGAAGAGAGTATACCGTAAAATCAGCATCAGTGAAAATGCGAAGGTTTCTTGTTTTCCAAATATTTGCAGTAGGGCTATGCAATTGTTTTTTGGTCTTCAATCTAAGACAATCCGATTTGGTGTGGGTTCGAATAAAAATTAGTTTTTCAATATTAAAAGGATCAGACTCTTTTTTTTAAATTGAACTAAATAAAAGATCAAATATTTAAACAACCGTAATTCAATTCAAAAAAATATTTAATATAATTATAATTAATTTATTAATTATTATTATTATAATAAGTTAATTTATAATAATAATTAGTAATTTTTTATATTTTATACTTGTAAAGTGATGGATATCAAACAAAAATTTATCCTTGATCAACTTCAATTCTTTACTTTTATTATTAAAATTTATTGTTAACTTAATAAAATAAATTTTAATATATTGAAGATTGTTTAATTTAAACCCTTTATATTGCCATTGAAATATTTTTTTTATTGTTATTAAAAATTATTGTGAATTAATAATTATTGTTATGATATAATAAATTTTATATATTATTGTGTTGGTTGAGTTTATTAGATTCAAATCAATTACTATTTTTTATAGATAAAAAAAATAAGTGAAATATTAAATAAGGTCGAAATCAATCTATTAATCTTATCCGACCAGGCTGCGATCAACAGTTACCCTAACTTTTTCAGGAGGTAAGTGTAATGTGTAGTTTTAATCAACCATAAAGTGACCAAACAAGATGTGGCATCAGAAAAAAGAGCACTGCCATGGCAGGACAGTTCGACAGAGGAAAGTGAGAGACAAGGAAACATGACATTGTGGCTCATCTAAGTCCACACATTTTCTGATAACTTCATTCATTATTAATACTTTTTTATTTTACTCCTTCAAATAAAAATAATTTTATTCTAATATTAGGGAACCAGTTTATGATTTTAAAATATGCCATGTCCTTAAGGGCAAAAATATTATTTACCCATAAAATAATTATCAGTTTAGAACTGTGCTCGCAATTATCCCAAGTTAAGAAAGCTACTAAATATTTTTTTTATTAAAATATGCTTATGTAGTACAAAATACTAAAATAAGCACTTTTCACAAAAAAAAATAGCAATTATTTGGGAACGGAACTGTTAGATTCTCTGCATTCATGCATTAACTAGACATATTTTTCATATATGGTATGTACTTGATGTAACATTGCTGATAATTCATGAATAATGTTATTTATTTTATATTTTATAATTGTATTTTTAAAGAAATAACAAGACTATATATGAATTTATTTTTTTAATATTCTTCATATAAAGACTCTTTATATTTATCCGAAAGACACGGTGCAAAATCTGAATGTGATGAAAAAGTGGCGGTTGTGTGGACAACAACGTGTTCAATTGTCAGCCAAGCTCCTTGGTCCCATTCTCATGTCTTAAATGGTTCTGTGAGATGACAAGATTCCAAGAGCTAGAAGATAAACAACTCTTAACATTCCTTCACTACTTCACTTTCACTTTTTTCTTTGAGAACCAAAGAGAAAAGTATAAAAAAATTAAAATTAAAAAGCTACATCTTCATCAGCAGCTCCTCAAAGAGAAGAAGAGAGAGACATGTCTCTTCAACTGAAGGAAGGATCAGTAGTGTCTGCTTCTTCTTCATCTTCTTCATGGAACCACAGGCTCAACAGCCATGCCCTCAACCCTTTCCCTCTTCACAAGACTAGCAAAACTGGTAAGCAATCATCACAACATTATTATATTGTCTTCATACAAATAAGAGTACTTCATCTTTGAGTAGGTTTTTTCTTATTGACATGGCTGACTAGGTGGCAACCAACAAAGATTGATCTTTTTAGTAAGGATATGTCTTAACTCACAAGATTGTCAATTTAAATTTAGTATTCTTTGAATATGTAGGCATGCTTGACTTTTATGGAGTCAAGACCTGAACTTTCTATTAAAAAAAAAAAAATGTAAATGATCAGCTTTGAGTATTGTATGTAGTTTTTTTTTTCTTTTTGATAGGGCTATTTGACTAGGTGAGTACTAACAACGTTGGTCCAGTTCGTATACAAAGATTTAGCCTACAATCTATCAATTCGTGAGTTCAAATCTTTTTATTACTGTAAGATTCTTGTTAGTAGATGTTATGTAAATATCTCAGTGCTTGAAGGATGCATCGATCTTGGTGAGCCAGAACCAACTCAACTAAACTTATTATTGAAAAAGAGAAAAAGAAACCGACTGTGCTGAGCATTGCATGTACAATTGTACATGTTGATTTTGATATATAACCGAGTGATCCTGTACGTATCATTTTTTGTTTGTTGATAAAATAGTGGAAGATATTGTGTACCATAGATGAAATAATATTAGAAAGCAAAGTAGGGTTTTCACTGGAAAGTGGAAAGTGATGCAGAAGAAAGCGATGAAGATCTGTTCAGAGTGCCGGACATGGAAGCGACGGCAGGCGGCGGAGGAGGAGGAGGAGGAGGAGGAGAGGCAGTGATTTCAAATGGGAATACGAAGGCAGCAGGAAGCTTAAGCAATGTGACAGTGACAGATTCTCAGCTTCAGAGTGGAAAACGAAGAAGAGGAAGAAATCCTGCTGACAAAGAGTGCAGACGCCTCAAGAGGTGTGCATATATATATATATATATATATTACCAGATGTTCGATTCTTTCTTCTTCATTAGATTTTTTCTTCTCTTTATGGTTTCTCTATTTCATGTGACCAAAAGAACAAGGCCGATTTAATTTGCAGCTCCTTCTAAATTTATTGATTTTGAATTAGATTCTTATAATTTATTTTATTTTAACTAAATTCTTATAGTTTGATCGATTAAGTATATTATTCCTAACTGTTAAAGTTGTTAATGAATGAATAACTTTTTCAAAATAAAAAATATTTTTAAAATTTGTAGAAAAATTTATTTAATACTTTTAGCTAAAAAATAAAAAATAAAATTTGATTTGGTATAGTGTTTACATTTTTCTTAATTTTTTAGGTAAATTCTACATATAAAGAAGTAATTTAGAAAACATAACTTAATTATATAAATGTTGATTATTAAATTATGTAATCTTTTAATGAAACTATAAAAGTGCATTATTTTATTTTATTAAAAGAAAAAAATTCAAAACCCGTGGAGATTAATATATTTAATCAATTAAATTTTAATAGTTTAATTAAAACAAAATGAAATACAAAGACCCAATTTAAAATTAAAAAAACTAGAAGGACCCGTAGATTAGTATTTCCATGAAAATATACGTAATTGTGTGTGTATAAACAAAAAGAAGCACTCCCTCCTGATTTAGAAGATACTTTTACTAAAATAAAATTTTATTAATTGTATTTGTTTCAACATTACCCTTCCTTCTTTGTTATATTTCCTCAGTCTATTTAATATTTCACAAATAAAGTTATATTAAATGAAGAATATTTTTAAAAATTTATATTTGTATACTTTTAAAATAAAATAAAAAAAGTATATTTAATAAACTTCATTGGTAAGCACAATTTTACAAAAATAAAATCTTATGAACTGGGGCGGAATTAAAAAATATTTTTTTTTAAATGTCATCTGGGATTTGGACTGTTGCCTTCTCTACTATCCCTTCTAATCCCTAAAATCTCAACCCTTCATTTAGAGAATTAGATGAAATTGCTCTAACCATTAGCTGAAATGAGAGAATAGATAGGGTAACAAACATTCTAAATCAAATAAAGTGTGGTATGAACTGTGCTATGTATGTTCATTTTCATAGAAATAAATGGTGGGATTCATTGAGTCAACTTTTTTTTTTAAATCATAATTAGAATGATGAAATATGAGTTGGTAACATGGGAACATGAAAGAACAGGTTGTTGAGGAACAGAGTATCAGCACAGCAAGCAAGAGAGAGGAAGAAAGTGTATGTGAATGAGTTGGAAGGAAGAGCCAAAGAGTTGCAAGACCAGAATTCCAAGTTGGAAGAGCGTATCTCCACTTTGATCAATGAGAACACTATGCTTCGTAAGGTATGGTGCACTTTCTATTTTTTTATTTATATCCATCAAAATCACAACCTTAATTTTTCATTCTTATTCTTCCTTTTTTTTTTTTGCCTTTTTTGAATTTCACTGAAATTTTATGAAAAGGAATTGAAACTTTTGGTCCTGAGATTTTTTACACTTATATAATTATTCCTCATGGTTTGAAGGGAAAACCAAGACTAATTGTGTATGGTTATAAAACTTTAAGGATACAATTAATAAAAAAATTAAATTTTTGAAACCAAATTAGTAATTGAGACAAAATTAAGGAATTGAAAGTTTTATTATTCCTTATAAATATTATATCTTTTTAAAAGCAGCATAATACTTTTCAATTTCAATTTTTCTTAAAATTATATGTATTATTTTATTTTCAAAACTTGTATAATTTTTCCTCAAAGGAAAAAGTAATATTAAATTTTGAATTTTATTATAATTGCACTAAGCGCTACTAAAAATAGAAGGGAGTTTAATATAATTTCAACAGAGATCATGAATTTTTTTTTTTTGAAAAACATAACTTTGTATTGCTTGAAATTTATTATAGGTCCTTATACTTTTAGTTTTTGGTATTCTAAATCCCTCCAGAAGCGGTGTTATAGGAATCTAAAGCATCGAAAAACAAAAGTGTAGGAATTTAAAATAGAAAAAAAAATAGTACAGTAACTTATAACAAAAACTCGACTAAAGTGTAAAGATTCAAAGTTATATATATTTTTTAAAATAAAAACCTAGTACAATATAAAGAACAGTATATATGTTAAAGAAATCAGTAAGGACAAATGTAAACGCAAGCTCAAAAGGCTAAGCCAGATTTTGGAGAATGGCTTCCCAAACTAAGTTTTTGAGTTGCTTTACTTTTTCATTTCAAAGCGAAATTTATGTAAGTTTAGATAATGGATGGGAAGCATGTACATTTTTTTTGAATGAAATTCAAGAAATGTTATACAATTGATTTTTTTCCCAAAAAAATGATAGTAATTACTTAAACATTTAATTAATTTTAATCTATAATAATTCATTTAACTCTGTTAATATGTGACTTGCAGGTTCTTATGAACACAAGGCCTAAAGTTGATGAAAGCAGTGAACCAAAGCAAGATCAATTAAGTAAAAACTAACAACCTAAATAGAAGGTGCCTCAGAGTGATCAACACATCAATTATTCCTTCATGCTACTAGAAATTGAAAACCTGTCATACCCTTTTCCCCTATATGCGTTCCCTAATGAATGATTAATTGAAGATTATATAATTAAAGATAATGACAATGCCTACTTAGGTAGATAATTCCAAGCACATATTGTTCATGAGAATTCTTAGACAACAACTTTCAATTTGTATTGATGAACTATGATGGAACCAAATGTTCACTTTTTTTTTTTGGAAGTAAAATATAACTCTTAGTCTTTAAACTTTTTTTAATTATCCAATTAATTCTTAAATGTTAACTCAGAACAACTTATCCTTATTGTGTCATGATTTGGAATAGTTCAATTGAAATTTTCATCATCTTTTGATTCAATACAATTCAATCTTTATAATACCTTAATAAACCACAAACCGAGATGTGCTAAGTTGAGGCTTAAGAATTAAATTGATAGTTGAAGAAAAATTTAGGGAATTAGTAGTTATATCATCCCTTCTGTCTTCATCACTAGAACAAAATTCAGCAAGGAACAAATTTGGCTGTGGAGGGAAAATTCCTGATTGAGTCCATAAGCCCCATGTGCCTAAACTGTCATGAAGAAGCCTCAGACTACAAAATTTGTGTGATCAAAAATGAATCTATATAAGGAATGCAAAGAATAGGAAATAATGAAATGCATCTAACATAATACATAACCATCACTCAATACAAGAGCTATTGATCATCCTTAACTTGATCAAAATAGTAAAGTGAAGCCCAACATATAAAGATATCTGTAAGGAGAAGACCGACCACATCGAAAACAAACTTTGGAGCAAATAAACCCCAAACCTGCAAGAATATAAAAGCATAGACTGTACTGGATTAGCAACACAAACAGAATTAGGATTGTAAAAAAAAAAAAAAACATCATACAACGTTTTTACCATCAAGTGCCGTCTCTGGACTGTGACACATAGTATTGCAAAAGTTGTTGTAATTGCAGTACTCAGCCCATACATTATATACGCCTTAATATGGCATTGAATCATGAGTGTCAGAAAACAATGCATTCAATGGTTAACTAGCAGGAAGGATTTGATGGGATGAGTAGCCTAAATCTACTCGCTCAATGAATGCCTCAATAATAGATATTGGATTTCATTAGCACTTGAAAATTATCCAGATATATTACTTTCAAAAATTCAAAACAACTCTAACGATCAGAACACTTCTCACATATGCTATTCCTTCCAAAAACTTGAGATTTGGTGCTTTCTAATTATCACAAGATAAAATCTCTGATAGCCATTCAATTGAGTTGAACAGTTGTTACCGTGTTATGAGGGACACTCATTGAGTGAGTAGATTTGTGTTACTCATTGAATTCAAATCCCTAAGGAGAATACTCACAACTAAAGGAAACTCACTTGAGATAATTGCGTGTAGAAATAACGTTTTGTTTGATTAGCCTGTTTCATGGTTGCTACAAGAAGTGGGAGACCGAGTATGGGAAGGATGATCGAAAAACCGAATGTATCAATCGCGAGGAGGATTGCTTGGCGAACGAGGACAAATTCTTCAAACCTGAAATGAATGTAGATCATTAGAAAGCCAAGCAAACAGTAAGATACGTGAAGAACCCCATCAAGAGATGAAGTTTGATCTAGTGCTGGTTGTAATGTTGGCCTTGAATTGTAAAATATCTAGTGATTCCTCTAGTATCTGAAGCATCAATAAAAACTCCAGAAAAAATAGCAAACATATAATGTAACTAGCAAACATATAATGTAACTAGCTGATTATTTACCCCACAAATGCAGCACCATAACGGAGACCATCAAAAGCACACCTGAAAATAAAGATGCAAAGGTTTAACAAGTGTAGTTTCTGGACAAAGCATTAATAATTGATATGTTAAATATTCTTAGCACATGCTGAAAAAAGTTGCAGAAACCACAAAAGAGTCCACCAGAGAAAGCTGAAACAAATTCATCCTAACCTCAGACAGAAACACCTAACATACCAGTGACCACTGCAAAAAAAGAGACACACAGCAAAAAGGCTCCATTGCATCACCCGGAAGGGATAAATAGCTAAACTGCTACTAGGTCTTTCATTAGTACACTCTTCTTTATCGTCCATCCTCAATATACAATAGCCTGGAAGGTGGTTTAAAAGCACAAGGAAAAAATCCTCAGAAAAATGTATGTAGCTTCATGCTCATAAAAATGAAGGAAAATATATTACTAATTTGTAAATAATGGCAGGAATACATCATGAGAGTCATATGTTTCAAGCATTTGCGCAGCAAGATCTACTAACATAACAGAAGATAAAAGTAAAGAGAACCTCCAATTATGGACGCAATGGCAATCATGGGACCCTGCTTTCCTGAGAGAAGAATGACAATTGAACTCCAGGCAGATAACATGGCCATTGCTTTTGTGATTAATTTTTTCTTGCAATCCAGACAGTTATCCTTAAATAGTCCTCCAAATGACAGTAATGACAGTTGCCCCAAAGAAATAGCATAGATGATCCTGGGAACGTAATTTCTCCCAATGCTTTCAGGCGCCAGTACAAAACCAATGCTATTACAGTCTGATATCCAATGCACAATTATTAGCAAATAACTCAAGATGGTACTCCACGTGATGTACTTCCATGGCTGCTTAAAGGAACTGCTATCGGTGGCCTTGTACAGTAGAAATGCCAACAGGATCAGAACTAGCATGGGTGCAATTTCGGCTACATACTCCCATACTGGAAAACTTGATGTGATGTTGAGAATCCATGAAGTGTGTTCTTTCATAAAAGCAGATGTGGCAGCCTGTTTTGTCAACCCAAGTTCAATGGAAAATTGACAAAACGTGCACAAGAGAAGGAACCCAACACTCTACAGAAAATAAAAATGATGTTCAGTGACTTCTCACTATGAAAATCTACCGAAGTTCTATAAGAATTTATGCGTTAGCAAGCAAGAAAGTTCTCAAATAACAATGAACTTGCTAAGCACAAGAGAATGAAACCTAGGTGAAATACACACTTCTGCTAGTAGCTTCTCCTTCATGACCGCATATCGAAACATCACAATCCCAGATGTGGCCAAAAGGAAATTTGCTACTTTTCCTTCCTCCACTGACAACAAAATCCAAGCCAAAAAGAAAATAACCATGAAGTCTTGGAAAGCCAAGGTGTAATGTGAACCAATGTAAAAATCCAAATGCTTCAAACTTACAGATAAAACTGTTTGAAAGGAAACTGCATGCACGGACTGCCAGTAAAACGTATGCAAAAGTTGAGATGGAGAAAATTCCAGAAGCTCCAGATAGCGGCATATACATACCAAGCTGCATGTTCCCTCTTAAAATGGAAAGAATTTGAAAACTGAGTGATACAAACATGATTAAAATACCAGACATCATCAGTTTTAAATCAAACTCAGTCCATTTGACGCGAGCTAACTCAGCAACAGTTGCTAGGAAATTAAGGTATGCATCAATTTGCCTCTTAAGTGTAGGCAAAATTGTACCACTGCCATTTTTTTTGTCTGACAGTAACTTCTTAGTAGAATGCAGCCAAAGGCTCTCTGCTTGTGCATAAGTGCTTGCAATTCGAGACAAGTCATCAGAGGAAAATCCAACAGCTGATGAAGCTGAATAAACGTCTATATATCTCTTCACCTGAACAAATGCATCCTCAAAATGATTAAAACGAGATAACAGAAAAGCAAGGATATATTTACACACACACACACATGCAGAGAGAGAACATATGACCATTTTCCTGACAATTTATTTCACTTTTGGAATTATCAAATAAACACCCAGAATGTGATGTTAAAGCAAAGATTTAGACTCAAACCATAATGATGCTGTTGGAAAGCGTGGAAAACAAGATAACAATCAGAAACAAGATTTACTTAGCATTAAAATTGCATCAAGTGTAAATTTTGTAGGCGAGAACTTCTAATATTTTAATAAAAAAGAGATGATACAAAGATGTGTTAGATTATGCACAAAAGTCAGCTCCACAGTATTTCGCAGCATTGCACTGTCAAATCCCAATAGCAAATCCTTTTCCTTGAAAATAAGCACATGTTTTAAGACAAAATTTATTGAAGAAACTCCACAAGAACTGAAGGCAACTTGATATGTTTGTGCAGAAACAAGACTAAGAAATAATGCTGTAGTCCAGAAACGGAAGCAAGGGAACTTTCAAAGTGCAATATTGGGTACTCAAGGTCCATTTCTTAATAACCTAGCCAAATCTATGATAGTTAAGATTGAAGAGAAGACAATATACTCATTCTGTAAAGGGAACCAAAAGTTCAAATGTTTAAAAACCTGCCAAGAATTGACACATAGTACATTAGCATAATTCTGCATCCAGACATCTGACTCTGACGGCTCCTGAGGGGCTGCCAAATCCCACCTCCCAGCTCCTAGAGCATAAAGCTCAGGATTGATACGACCAATGCTGAGGAACAAAATTAATAATGCATTGTGAGTTCTTAAATTAGTTCCCAAGACATTTCTTTAACAGCATGAGTACATCATGACTCCAGATTTAAAGCATACATTGACTTAAAATGGCAACGTAACCTACAAAAAATAACGCTAAATATCTTGCAAAGAGATTTAACGAATGGGATAAAGCTACCAAAAAGGATTTGGTTCATTCTAACAATAAACTAGGGGAAACCAAATGAATAGTGTACACATGGTCATGGTTTAGGGCTTTTTAGGGCAAAAATTTTCAAGGATAATAAATATAAAAGGTTAAGTGTCTTCCCCCTCTTCATATCAGCCAGACTTGATTGCAAGAGTAGCTCATGGACAACATTACAATCTAATTTGTTAAATTCATGTTGAACTATTTCTTTGATTTTATCTAGCCCTTCCTCTCTTTACAACTAATTAAACCAATAACTTTTCAAAAGTCCTCCACAGCAGCAAATTTTTGGACACTCCTATTTATTTTAATTATTTGTTTAACCATTTTTGGATGTTTTTTCCATGCATTTAGGATTAGTTATTCTATTTTAATTAGGATAGAGTTATACAATTTTGATCATGATGAGATTATTTTAGATATTTTGTTCATGTGAACTATCACTTAGTTACTTGAGATGAGAGCTTGGAGACCTTTCTTTCATTATCTACAAAGGTAACGTTTCCACTAATGAAATAAATTCAGAGGAAAATTGAACCCAGAATTTCCATGTCAATAGTTAAGACAGACCTTAAGTTCTGAAGCATCATTCGAACTTCTTTATTCAATCTTT